GTGGCTCCAGCTAACAAAATGCAGCCTTTTAGCTAATTTCTGAACCACAGAGTTGCAAAGATTGCCACCTACTTGGGGCCAGTCTTGTGATCCAACCTGATTGTAGGGGCAGAGACCAAAGCATTTCTCTCTGGTCCATGGGAAGTCACTCATGTGAAAGGGTATCAGTTTGGCAGGTTGAGGTGGAAAGGGGATGAGAATTACTGGTCTTAGTGCCCAGTGTGTAGTTAGCACCCAACACTATCTTAATTGATGGACTGATAATCCATTTCAGTGTTTTCTAAAGTGTCTTCTGCAGAGCACTAGGCTTTTGAGACGCTCCTTGTAAGAAGTGTTCAGGAGCCAAATAAGTTTGGGGAATGCAGCTTCTTCTGTCTCCTTAGAGATATGTAACGTCATTCTATTAAACTAACTTATTAACATCCCAAGGAGCTGTTCTGCTGAGCATGCTTTGGGAAGTGTTGGTCTTTATAATGAAGTCATGATGTACATTTATGTGATCTTTTAGCAACTCTTGTGTCTTTTGTCCAATAGTTACATTTCATAATTTTTACTAAAGTTTACATTTTATAATTTTTACCAAAAAAGGCTTATGTGTTCCAAGGATCAGAGTACACTGCTTTGTGTTTAGTTAGCACAATTTGCCTTTGAGAACCCACGAGAGTCTCTGAATGTGGCCCTTACCTTATACTTATTTAACCCTGAATTCCAGGGTCTGTTGGAGAAGTACTCTGCTCTGGAACTATCTGAGTTGTGGCCTGGCTCCATCACAGCTGATGTTGGTCTGTCTCTCTCTGCGCTCGTGATTGCCTGGTGCTGAGACTCACTCTGGCACAGACAGATGGACAGACACCACCCAGTGTTGTGGACAGGCTCAGCTGTGGACCAAACATGCCAAAAATAAAGCCATGGTGTTCTGTGCAGTGAAAACCGGAACTCCGCTGTTACTGAGCCATTATCCCGTCCTTTATGGCCTGATCACTGTGATCAGATGAGGGTTTGTTTCCCTGACGCCATTATGGCGAAGATGGAGAAGTGTGGGGTGACAGTGTGGTTAAGTGGATTTGTAACCGATGCTGTGGCCATGCCCAGGGTGGGCTGCTTAATGGATCCTTGTCAGCCTAGGGGGAGTGCTATAGTGGTTTGCCACAAACTCTGTCCTCAGTCCCATCCTGGTTACCCTTTTTTTTTTTTTTAATAATTAAGACGTGAAGGCCCACAGACCATATTTTGCAGATGATCTATGTATGGGAGAAATAGCTAATGCAAAGGATGACAGAGTTGAGATGCAAAGCTGGTATAAAATGCTGGTTGGGGGTATGTGTGTAATGAGCTGGGATTTAAAGTGGATAGAAAGTTTATTAAGTTAAGAATTTAAGTTTAAAAAATATTGTGGCCCGGCCGGGCGTGGCTCAGTGGTTGAGTGTTGACCTAGGATCCAGGCGATCGGGGTTCGATTCCCGGTCGGGGCATATGCCTGGTTTGCAGGCTCGATCCCCAGTCAGGGAGGTGCAGGAGGCAGCTGATCAATGACTCTCTCATCATTGATGTTTCTGTCTCTCTCTCCCCCTCTCCTTTCCTCTCTCTGAAATCAATAAAGATATATTTAAAAAATAAAAATAAAAAATAAAAAAAATAAAAAATATTGTGGAAGTAAGAGATGGGGCCTTAAATTTGTGTTCTAAAAGACTGAAGAATGATAAACAGCAAGTTGAGATTTCCACTGGCGGGGAGAGGATGTGGGCACTGAGACATGCATAGGAGTTTTAAGCTTATTAGTAATACTTTATGTTTTAAGTGGGGCGGTGAGTTTATAAGTGTTTGTAATATTTTTTATACCTTTTGTTTGCCTAAATATTTAATAAAACAGACTCCAGAAACTTTGGTGGAACATTAGTTCAGTAGCCATGAAGATCTTATCCACAAATCAAGTAGCAAATTAGCGTCTGATAAACTCCTGTTCCTGGCTCTTTACAGTGCGTATTTGGGGTATTGTTTAGTCCTGAGCACTGCATTTGAAGAGGTACACTGTACTGCAAAAATAGTAGGGTAGTTTTGAGATAATGGGTATGGGAACTAGTCCTATGACAGATAGTTGGAGGAAATGGGTAGTATTTAGACCAATGAGGAAACGACTAAGGTTCTGTCTTTAGCCGTTTGAAGAACTGTCAGGTGGAAGAGGGAATAGATTTGTTTTTTTCAAAAGGGCAAAAATCAGGGCCGTGGGTATAATCTGATTTATAACCAGTGGAAGTACTGTGTAGTAGAGGTGCCTTGCGGTGAGTCAGGCTGATTTGGGAGGTCAGTTCTTCATCAGAAGCCTTCCACTGGCCAGGGATGCTTGGAGGAGCTTTCCTGCAATGGGGAAATCTGGGTTTCCCCACAGTTGTAACTGATGGTCTGTGACATTACGCTGCTTCTTGAATGATGGAGGCAGCCATCAAGATGTGTCTCTGAAATTGTTATCAAACATATATGTGTATATATTCCTATCACTTTATGTCTCCTTGGAAGAGGTTGTTATGTAAAGGAACTTTGCCATGCCATGATTTTGTTTTGGTACAGTGTAGATTCATTTTGAATATAAAGAATTCCTTTACTATTTTAAAAATTTTTATAGTTTTAAAGAAAAACGTATGAGAACTTCATGTGGCTTATATCCTTTGTTCTAGCAATATGATATATTACATTGATTTTTTTTTTTTTTTTTT